TTGTCTTCATCTTGAAGGCCAGATACGGATGTGTTTCAGAGTGATGGGATTGTGGCTGCGCCTCCCACAGCCTCGCCGTAGCGTTGAGATAGGCTGCAAATGTGCACAGCCAAACTTAGAGCATCACTTAACGGCTGTGCAAAGACACAGGCGATGTCACTGTTTAGAATGTGCATTTTTCTGAACTTTACTTATTTGGCCGCATCTCACCACAACACTCCGGTGTCACACCGGCACAGCGGTGCCCCAGTAGGAATGGGGTCTCAGTGTGGGGTCATGGAGCGATGCTAACGGCCCTTCTCAGCACCCACAACCCCTCCGAGTGCCCCCGCTGCCTGCGGTCCCCTGGGCTGCTCGGGGCCGGGCACTGCGGGGCTGCCCCCCGGGAATGGGGAGCGCTGCGCTCTGGGCAGAGCCTCCGCGTCCCGGCGTTAAGCCTTAAATAGCAGCCTATGGAAGCACGGTGTGACGCGGGATGTTATGGCGTAACGCGGTATCAAACTACGGCACCTACGGGCAGGAGATGAATCCGAGGTCGGGGAGCGGACAGCCGGACGGACACCGCCGGCTGGGTTCCGTCGCTGCCCGGCGCCGGGCAGGCAGTGCGCAACGCTCCGCTGGGACGGGGCCGTGCGTGTCACAACGCCGCTGATCGCGGGCGCTGCGTGGCGGTGCCGTCAGACGCTCAGAGCCGCGCAGCCGACGCGCACCTCCCGCCGGGGCTCTCTTCCCTCCTCCCCGGGGCAGCTCTGCCCGACCCCGGCAACAAAGGGTTCGCCCCAGGGGGTGGGGGGAGACCCGCACGGCCCCGCACCGAGCGGCTTCCGCTCCCCGGCAAGTTCAGCCTCTGCGGAATGAGTGAATGGCACAGCCCCGCCGAACTTGGAAAAACGATGTCATCCTTGTGTGTGTGTGTGTTGAGGGGCTGAAATAATTAATTCGCCAATCAGTGACGTTTTGGTCGGTTTTTTGTTTTTGTTTTTGTTTTTTTTCCCCGTGCCGCCCGGCCCGGGGCGCGCCCCCGCGCTGCTGCAAATCACGGCCCGGCACTCGGCGCGGCCACGCGCCGCAATTAACGCGGGGACGCAATTAGCGCGGGGACGGGGCGCGCCGCCATCCATTACCGAGGGATGCGAGCCGGGCAGGGAAATGATAAAATACGTGGTGAAAAGCGGCGGCGGTGGGAGTGCCTACATGAGTGATCGCCTCGGGCTTCTGCGCCTTGAACTTAGCGCGCCGGGAAATCCCCGAGGTCAAAAAGTAGGAAAATTGTTGCAGCCCGGGGAGATATATTTTAACTTCGCAGAGGGTCCGCGCGAGTTCAGTCCCGGGGAAGATGCGGGCTGCCGGGAGCACCGCGTTCCCGGTTCCCGGTTCCTGGTTCCCGGCCCGCGGCGAAGCCGCCGCTGAGCGCCCCGAACCGCCCCCGGGAACTGCGTGCGGGCGGAGCGGTGCGGGACGGCCTCGAGTGCGGCCCCCCCCCCGCCGTCCGCCGTCCGCTCCCAACCCCCTCCCGCTGACCGCGCGGCTGATTTATGGAGAGCGATGTTTTAGCAGAAATCCCCCAGAGTCGCCCATCAGCCCTAAATCCCCAACCTGCTCTCCCTGGGAGACCTCATGACACAGAGCATGCCAAAACAGCTCCGTTTTGCCTATGCATTAGCAATCTATTTTACCTTTTTGACATCTCTCACACATAAAACCGTAAGAGAGAAATAAAATATCTGTCTCTGGGCGAAAATAAAGCTTTGCCTCCCTCCTGATCTATAGGATATAAAATAAAGCCATGGCTTTGATAGTGGCTTTTCCTTATACCGGAGTTGCTTTTGCACACACGGAGACAATGAAGATGGATGAGCGGGGATCGGTGCCTCCTCTCGGGGTTTGTTTCACCCTTTTTTATCGTCTCCCCCTCCCCGCACCTCTTTACTTTTCTTTCTTTCTCTTTGATTCGCCTTTCCCTGCCCTCCCTCGCTCTCCCCGGTGCGCACAGCCCCGTTCCCCGCGGCCGGGCTCGGCTCCATCCCGGCCCATCGCGGCCCCTTCCCGTTGTTTCCCGACCCCTCCCGGCCCTTTCCCAACCCCTCCCGGTGCTTCCCAGCTCCTCCCGGCCCGGCGGCAGCCCTCACTCAGACGCGCACACCGTCGGAGCTGTAATTATTTATTAACTGTATTTTCCCATAAACAACTCGGGAGCTTTGGATGTAAGCGACGACATTTAGCGACTTGCAGAGAACCCCGGGGGGGCTCGTCCGGGCTGGGGGGGGGGGGGGGGGAGGAGAGGGGCGGGGCCGTGCGTTACCCCTGCATCGCACCGCGGGCGGCACAGCGACCCGGGGCACCGCTCCGCAACTCCGAGGGCTTTTCGGCGCTCGTTGGCACCGACGCGGAGCGGCGTCCCGTCCGGCCGTGGGGAGCGCAGGGCTGTGCCACGGCCGGGAGCACCGCCGCACCGCGCTGTTCGCTCGGGGAGATGTCCGAACCGGGAGGGAGACGTCCCATCTCCGGGCAGACCTTTGTTCAGGCGGCGCCCCGGCCCCGCGCCCTCTCACTGCGGGGAAAGTTGCGGGAAAGGTGCAGCGAGCCGTGCGGGGCCGAGGGGAGCCCAACGGACTCCCGCATCCCCGGGCCCGGTTTGGGGCAGCGGACCGCCCGCCCTTAGAAATCGCTCTCGGGACGAAGGGCCCTCCCAGCCCCGCAGCCCTACGCGGTACCGGCGGAGGCCCCGCAACTCGCGGCGGCCGCGAGAAGGGTGAAAGCGAAGTGCTGCAGCGCGCCGGGCCCGGCCGTGCTCACGAGGGGGGAAAGGGCAAAGCGGGAGAAAGGAGAGAACCGCCGGGAGAGCTCCGACCGCTGCGGCCGGGGCTGTCCGTGCGGGGAACGAGGAGCGGCCGTGGGGACAGCGGGGCACCGAGCCGGGCGGGAGCGGTACCACCGAACGGCAAATTCAGACTCGCCTGAAAAAGGCGTTTTGTTTCCGCATTAGATTTAAAATAATCTGCATTTTTAAATCTTATTATTATTATTCCTTTTTGAAATTTGCTCCTTTTCCGGCGCCGCGCACCCCCCGAACGGAACGGGGAAAACGAAACGAACTGAACCAAACGGAGGAGCGGTGCCGCGCGGTGCCGGGCGGGCAGTGGGGCGGCAATCAGCCCCGCATCCCGACGGGGGCACCGCTCCGGGGGTGCGAGACGCGCCCCGGGCACCCGCGGCTCCGGGGGCGGAGAGCGGAGCCCCGGCGAAAAGCGGCCGAGAGCGGCGGGGGGGCGGGGGCCGGGCCGAGCAGATGCTTTCGCTAACGCCTGGAAAAAAAAAAAAAAAAAAAAATCGCTGTGAAAAAGTGGTGTTTGATGGACGTGAGATGCTCGTCGCCTCCCGCGCATTCATCCGCCGACACATGGCGCTTGGGGCCGCAGTCAAAGGGAAGCGGTCCCCTGGTAGCAGCGCCCAGCTGGCGGAGCGGGGCGGAGCGGGGCCGCCCGCGTGAGAACGGCCCAGATGGGGCCGGGGGCATCGATCCCGGGCGGGCGGGGCGCGGGGAGCGGGGCGCGGCCCCGACGGGGCGGGAGGGGCGCGGGGCGCGGCAGGCAGTGCCGTGGTTGCCGGCAGAGGCGGGGAACATCCCGTTTTATTCCCCCGTTTCTCCGTCCCGCAGCTCCGACCGCGCGGAGGTCGGAACGCTGCCGGGTGCGGGCCGGGCTGCGGGGCGAGCCGAAGGGAGCGACCGCTCGGGGTAGAAGCGAACGCCGCTTCGTCGGCCCAAAAAGCGCAGTGGCGGCGGGCGGCTGTCAACGGGACCCCGCGCGGCCACGCATCGCTCCGCGGACACCCGCGGCGCCGGGCCCGGCCCTCCCCGCCTCAACCCCGGCCGGCAGCGGGCAGGAACCCGCGGGTCGCGGACCCCGCGATCCGCCCCGTGCCGCGCCCCCCGCCCCCCCCGCCCCGCACCTACCGCTGCAGCGCGTCCCGGGGCTCCGCGCGGGGCGCACCTTTACCGGGCGAAGGCGACGGCCGGCGGCGCCCCGCGCCCTCGCGGCTCTATAAAGGGGCGCGGACGCCCCGTCCGGCGGCGGCGCGGCGCGGGGGGGCCACGGGGGGCGACGGCGGCGGAGGCGGCGATTGGCCGCGGCGCGCGGTGACGTGTGCGCGCGGTGCATAAGGCTGCGGCCGCGGGGCTGCCGGGAACATGCAGTGCGCCGAGCGCTGCCGGACGGCGCGGGCCGCGCGGGCAGCGCCGCTCCCCTCCGCGCTCCGGCCCCGCCGCGCCGTTGCGCCCCGCCGGGAGGCGCCCCAGTGCCGGCAGCGCCGGGAGATGCCGCGCGGGGACGTGGGGTAGCGCGGGGCACGCAGGTAGGAGCCGGGGACGGCGGGGGACGGCGAGCGGCGGAGCCGGGAGCGGAGCGAACGGAGCGAACGGAGCCGGGAGCCGCGCTCAGCGTCCCCCCGCGCACGGACGGCGGCCCCGCTCCGCGCCGCTCGGGCCATGGCACCGCGCCTGCAGCCTGCGCCCGTCTGACGGCGGGCGGCCCGATGCCCTGCGCCCGTGCTGTCCTCGTCTTGTCGTCTTTTTTTTTCTCTTTTTTTTTTTTCTTTTCCCTCCTTTAATTTCTGTTTGGGAAAAGCAGATGCACTTTGACTTCTGACTGCTCTACCTCAGACCTGAGAAAAAACTCGTCACCGTCGACCGCTTCTCGGCGGTTTTTTAATTATCGCCGTTTTCGTTTTATCTGAGCGCCGATTTCTGCGCCGCCGCGCGTCGGCCTCAGCCGGGCCGGGCCCGGGACCCGCGGCCCTGGGACAGCGACCGACCGAAGGCTTTTCTCTCTCCAGTCCTTTTTCTTCTCTTCCTCTTCTCCAAGGCTTTTTTTTTTTTTTTTTTTTAATAATTATAACGTACACACACACACACACACACATATATATATAAAAGCAAACCTACGCCGCTGTTGTCGTCTTTTTATTTTTATTTCGAATTTTCGCTTGCCATCTGGGACGCCGATACCCCACTCTCAGAAATAACCAAAGACAATGGTTCACTGTGCGGGCTGCAAAAGGCCAATCTTGGACCGGTTCTTGTTGAATGTACTGGACAGGGCTTGGCATGTGAAGTGTGTTCAGTGCTGTGAATGTAAATGCAATTTGACAGAGAAATGCTTTTCGCGAGAAGGCAAGCTTTACTGCAAAAACGACTTCTTTCGGTAAGTACCGCAACCGCCGCCCGGAGCCGCGGCTCTTTTCCATCCGTTTGCCATCTTTTCCCGTCTGTTTATTTTTTTCGCTCGCCGCAGAGCCCCGTTCTCACGGTGATGTCGGGCCGCGCTCTGTCTCCCGGCGCTGCCCGCCCGCAGCTGCGCTTCCGAACCCGCCTGGGGCGGCGCGGAGCGATGCCGGGCCGTGGCCGCGCCTCGGGGGGCCGCGCTGCGGGAAACGCTGCGGGCCTGGGTCGCGGCCCGGCTGTGGGAGCTCCCGGCAGGGCCGAGCCCCGCAGAGTCCCGGCCCGGCCCGGCCGCTCCATCGCGCTGTGCACCGGCAGCACAACGCGGAGCGGCCGCAGCCCACGGGCGGCCCCGCATCTCCCGCTCCTACGCGGCCATCGCGGCGCCGAACTCCGCTGCCGTTTCTCGGTGCCGTTATCGGGGCGCGGAGGGGAAAGCCGCCCCGGCGTGGAATTAATTTCCCCGGCGTTGGCCCTCGGTCCCGACCACAGTGGTTGCGTTTTCTTTTATCGTTTTGTAAGGTCTAAGTCAGCGGGCATTCGTTGGGAAAAGCGAACTCTAGGGAGGGATGGTTTGGGGTTGGTTTTGGTTTGGTTTTTGGTTTGGTTTGGGGTTGGGGTTTTTTTGTGTGTGTGCGCGCGTTTTTGATTTATTTACTGTGGTTTCGGTTTGGTTTTCGTTTGTGTCGGTTCGGTGCGGTTCCGGGGCCGGCGCTCTCCCATCGGGCTGGGCGCACGGCACTGCCCGCTCGCTGCCCCCGCACCCTCCCGACCCGCCGCCTCTCCCCGCAGGTGTTTCGGGACCAAGTGTGCGGGCTGTGCCCAGGGCATCTCCCCCAGCGACCTGGTCCGCAGGGCGCGGAGCAAAGTGTTTCACTTGAACTGTTTTACGTGTATGATGTGCAACAAGCAGCTCTCCACCGGCGAGGAGCTCTATATCATAGACGAAAACAAGTTCGTCTGCAAAGAAGATTACCTAAATAACAGCAATACTGCCAAAGAAAACAGCCTGCATTCAGGTGAGGGAGCGCGGGGCGGCGGCTCTCCCTCTCCCGTCCCTTCCCTTCTCCCCCCGCCCGGTTCCCGCACCCCTTCTGACTCTCGGCCCTTCGCTGCCCGCAGCTACCACCGGCAGTGACCCCAGCCTGTCCCCCGACTCCCAAGACCCCTCCCAGGACGACGCCAAGGACTCGGAAAGCGCCAACGTGTCCGACAAGGAGACAGGCAGCAACGAGAACGACGACCAGAACCTGGGGGCCAAGCGGCGGGGGCCCCGCACCACCATCAAAGCCAAACAGCTAGAGACTCTGAAGGCCGCCTTCGCGGCCACCCCCAAACCCACGCGGCACATCAGGGAGCAGCTGGCGCAGGAGACCGGCCTCAACATGCGCGTCATCCAGGTACCGGGCGCGGGCTGCCTTCCCGGCCCCGGGAGCTCGCGGCAGCCCGGGAGGGTCCGAACGGGGCCGCCGACGGCAGCGGAATTAATAAGCGGAGATGCGAGGGGTTAATGCATAAATAAGGATGACGATGCGCTGGAATTATTAAAAGGTTTATAAACCCGCAGCGCTGAGGGTAATGGGGGGTTGAAGGACCATTAAAGGCGAGGTTGGATGGGAGATGCTCGGAGCGGGAGCCATCCGGTCGGGGCGCCGGGAAAGAACGCGCTCGTTCCCGACCCGCGGCGGTAGCGCGTGGTTACCGGTACCGGTGCTGTGCCCGTGACCGACCCACCTTTCCTCCCCCCTCACCCCGCCTACAGGTGTGGTTCCAGAACCGCCGCTCCAAGGAGCGCCGCATGAAGCAGCTGAGCGCGCTGGGCGCCCGCCGGCACGCCTTCTTCCGCAGCCCGCGCAGGATGCGGCCGCTGGTGGACCGCCTAGAGCCCGGCGAGCTGCTTCCCAACGGGCCCTTCTCCTTCTACGGAGGTGGGTACGCGGCCGCCGCTCTCCGTCCGGTGCGCGGGGCGGGCAGAGCGGCCGGGAACCGCGGCCGGGGGAACCGCGGCCGGGCGAACGGCGGCCGCCGCTCTCCCATCCGCGCTCCGGGCCCGGCTCGCAGCGGGCGCTGCCTCAGCCCGGGGCCGCCGGGCGCGGTTCCCCGTCGCGGTTCCCGTTCCCGGCCGTGCCGTCGCGCTGCTCGCGGTGCGTCTCGCGGCGCCGCTGCCGATTGCGGTCCCTCAACCCCGCACCCGCCGCGCCGCGCGTCTCCTCCTCTCCGTTACGCTCGGGCGCTCGTCCTCCGCGCTACCGCCCGTGTCTCTCCTTGCCGCCAGATTACCAGAGCGAGTACTACGGCCCCGGGGGCAACTACGAGTTCTTCCCGCAAGGCCCGCCCTCCTCGCAGGCGCAGACGCCGGTGGAGCTGCCGTTCGGGGCGGCGGGCGGACCGCCGGGCACGCCGCTGGGCGCGTTGGAGCATCCGCTGCCCGGGCACCACCCGCCCGGAGAGGCGCAGCGCTTCCCCGACATGCTGGCGCACCCCGCCGGGGACTCGCCCAGCCCCGAGCCCACCCTGCCCGGCTCCCTGCACTCCATGTCCGCGGAAGTGTTCGGCCCCAGTCCTCCGTTCTCCTCGATATCCGTCAACGGCGGTGCTAACTACGGCAATCACTTGTCACACCCACCAGAAATGAACGAAGCGGCCGTGTGGTAGCTTTAAGCGAACTGGGTCTAAGTAAGTGATGATCATCTAGTCTGCTTGTTGTTACGGTGTACAGAAATGAGTAAATGTAACATCTCTCCCGCCCTAAGACAATGGCACCTTGGGAACGAACTGCGCCCGGCGGCTCCGCGCTGCTGCAGAGCGGGACGATCCCGGTGTGCGTTTGTCACAGACACGGGGACCTGCGTGTGCCATGACAAAGGAACTGGTGAAGCTGTACAGTAACGTGCCGCCGCGCCGTGGGATGGATGGATGAGTGTGGTTACCCCGTCGGATGTCACCCCGAGAGCCACAATCCTTAGAAACTCCTCTTTTAAAAACAAACAAACAAACAAACAATGATTGAATGGCGGAAAGGTGAAAGGAAAGGGGGAAAAGCTGCAAGAACTCTGAGCGCTCCCAATAAGGATGGTTCTGGCGTTCCGCATTTCTTTGTTCATTTTTCCCTCTCAAAGTTCAACCACGAGAAACTCTTTAGCTTCAGCCATTGCAGCCTGCTGAATACCAGGTGGGACAACTTTTCTTTCTCCTTTTTTTCCTTTATTGTTGGTTTTGTTTTGGTTTTTTTTTTCCGGTTGTTGTTTTCTTCTTTTGTTTCCCTCCCCAAATAACAAATACTAAATGTTGAGCCCTCGGCACCAACTCTTCTACCTTCACAATGCTACACATACAAAACCTCCTCATCATAGCAAAGGTCGCCAACGGACCTCTAAGGCGAATGACTTGAAAAGAAAAAAAATACAAAAAAAAAAAAAAAGACAAAAACAAAAAAAACAAACGAACAAAAAGCATTCTACCTTCACAAAGAGAGCAAAGCGAAACGAAAAGACTCTATTGAACTAAAACAGTCAACTGTTTACGTCTAACGTTAAATTCAGGAGCTCGATGTTTTACTAACAAATCCTGTTTTAGAACCTCTTGTTCGAAAGCAAAATATTTTGAGCAGCCAACCAAAATAGTTCCTTTTCTTTTCTGTAGATGTACAAAGCGATCGCAGGGCTTGTGGTTCACTGTGCTAGTTTGTCAAAGGTGTTGTTTACAGAAGGCAAAGAGAAACCCGCGAATCCCAGACCGTTGCCAAATAAAGGGAATCTATAGCACAAATACTGTCAGGTGCTCCGCACCAGCAACCCGGAGAGGCGTTTCCAAATGTCACAAGGTTAAAACCAGAACAGAACGAACATCTTTGCTAATTTTTAGTCCTGTTGAACATTCATGGAATTGTTAATATGACTTATATAGACCCACACAGGTTTTATTTTTGTGTCTTTAAAATGAAAGTCCAAAATATTTAAATTTTATGGTCAAATATGCAGTCGACAGCTGCTACTTTTTTCTTTATATATTAAATTTCTCATATGTCTTTTATTGTTCTAATAAACCTAAGCTTGTGTGACCTCCAGTGCATATTAGACCATTCACTGTATGAAAGAAAACATGTTGGATAAAATTTGTGCGTTTTTAATAAAATTAGAAAATGGGATGTTTAGACAAGTGGTGTTTCATTGGGTGTCTGAGAAACCAAAACAGCCCCGAGAGAGCCGTGCGTGCAGCTCGGCGCCCTGCAGAGCCCAGCAGTGCTGCTCTGCACGTTGCTCAGCCGGCAGCATGGGATGGAACCGGGCTGTGCTGAGAGAAGGCACTCAGAGAGCTCATTAACAGAAGTGTTTGATCAGCAGCGAAAGCTTGCAGATCTGTGTTTGTAACTGCTGAAAGGTCATTTTAAATTTTTTTATTATTATTTTTTTAATTGGATGGTCTGCGAAGCAGCAAATCCTCAGTGCCCCGAGCGTGGTTATTTTATTTTATTTTATTTTGGAGCTGACAAGGACTCAATGGTTTGATACTGCAGTATTTTTGGAGCGCACGGCAGGGTTTGGCAGGAGAAGCACGCGGATTTTCTGGGACAGAAATGAAGTAAATGAGGATTTCCTGCAGCCCGGTGCTGGGCAGGTGTGGCGGTTCTGGTACGGCTGATTGCAGCAGTGCGAGGGCTCGGGCAGCGTCGGAGGGTTCGCTTCAGCTCTGCAGCATCGCAGCTCAGTGCAGCGCCTTCCGCCCGCTGCGATAATGGGATGGACGGGCGGTAATTGCGTATTTCCCTTCATCTCTCTGCTAATTGTGATTCCGTCGGGCTTCTGTTTTATTTTCTGTCGGCGCAGAAATTCGCTCCGAGGCGCAGATTTCTCCGCTCTCAGCACTTCAGGGCTTTCTCTCTTTGCTCTGAACTCGCGATGCTTTCAAGTCGGACGATCTGTAATTTCAGGGGCGGTTTTGCTCCCGACGCCGTTGCTGTGCCCCCGTCCGGGTGAAGCAATAGTTCAGCTTCAACACAAAACGTCTTTTATATACATATATATATACTGTAAAGGCAAAAAACAACAGGGATCCATCGGTAGTGTTTCTGAAGAGTTTATTAAAGGCAGGGAGACTTGTTAACCTCGAGGCTCAGCGCCTGGCTCATCCATTCGCCTTTTGTATCCTTGCCGTGATTTTTCCCTCTGTTTTGCATTTACGTGAGCATAGCAAGGGGTAATCTCTTCGTGACAAACTTTTACTTATCTGTGCAAACGCTGTTTATAAATACTGCTATTTGTGCTACCGGTCTGTGCTGCTGTTTTATTGTCCAATCAATTATTTTAAACGAGGATCTCATTTTGCAGAAATCATGTCTGCCAACTACTCGTTTTTCCCTTTTTATTTTTTTTTTCTCCCTTTTTTCTTTTTTCTCTCTTTTTTTTTTTCCCCTGCACTGGGGTGTTCGTACGGTTTATTCATGCTAATTTAGGCGGAGATGTGATGTGGTTCAGTTTAGGTCACCGGTTTCTAAAGGGATGCAGGAGAGCCTGCCTTGTTCCCCACGCTGCCGCTCGCTCTCAGAGCAGCTCTGCCATCACAAGGAGCCAACCCAGCAGTGGTTCCCATGCCCAAAGCCAAACGTGCCCATCACAGCTCCCAGGATGCAGCATGGAGGCCTCAGCCCTTTGCAGATTTGAATTCCGTGCTCTTCAGAGCGGCGCTGGGTGTTTCTGAGGACCCTAATCCAGCAACAATCGCAGAGTCAAAACTCCTTTTGAAATCATTGTGGTGTCGGGTTCTTGTAAGTCCTCGTTTACAAGAGCGTTTCCATTGACTTCAGTAGCATTACTTGCGTGAATGGAGGGCTGCAGGAGAAGGCCCTCGGAACACATGTGCTGCTTGGAGGGCTTTTACGTGTGCATATTAATTCTTTAGCTGCGGCGAGGCGGCCGTGCCACCTCCATTGCTGTGTGTGTGCAGTGTGCTTTCCAAAGTGTGTTCAGAATAATGGCTCTGATCTTTTCTCCCTCGGCTGCTCCTGGTTTTGGTGCCATCCCCCCCAGCGGAGCGCGGTGCCGTGGGGCTGCTTGGTGCCCACACTGCAGAGCTGCCCTGGGGAGCAGGATGTCCTTTGGCACGGATGGGGATCTCTGCATCCGTGGGCGACGCTGAAGGTTTTGCAATCCCACATGTAGGACTGTGCTGCTTTATTAGGAAAAAGGACACTGGGAAGCTATTGTGAGTATTATTCACGTCGAGCTCATTTATTTGAAGGAGATACTTTGCAGGATAAAGCGCCTTTAGAATGCAGTGGGTTCACGGCACTCAGAAGCACCGCTTTGGCACAGAGCGGCTGCGTTGTGCGGTGCTCCTCTCTGCCCTCCCTGCTGCTCTCCTTCCCATTCCCACTTTGCTCAGGCCCTGGCGTGGGGAGCAGGAGGGGATTTGTAAAGCCGTGCACCCCGAGAGTAGGAACGTCCTCAAACTCTGATTTGAGGCTAAATGATGTGTATTATTTTAATGCGTTTATTTGTACCCAGGCGCTGAGTGACGGGTGCATGATACCAATCTATAAATAAATATAATTTACAAGCATCAGCAGTGATTTACATGCTCCTGCTATTCTAGGAAGTGGCCTAGAGTTTTTCCCCAAGCAAGAATGTTGTGTTTAAGCCTTGCATGCCCATACATACTAAATATAAGCAATCAGTCTGGCTTTCTGTTCCCATCCCAGCATACAGACTAAGGTATGCTTTCCTCTCTGTTCAGCACAATCAACTGCTGCGTATCTGTAGGGCCGAGGCAGATTATGGAGGTGCTTTTATTTATGTCTGTGCTCTGCGTTCCAGATGACCACAAGATATTCCTGAAGTTCTAACTCAAATTAATGGGACCATTAAAGAAATGTATTTTGAGTACGAATCCATTTGGGATTGCTGTCTGCCTCTTTCAAAACGGTATTTGTTGTGCTTTCAGTCTCAGACCCGGCTTATGACGCTGAGTTGCTTGTTGTCCAGAAAGCTTTTCATTCATTAATGGGAGGAAGGGCAGCCCTGCGTTGTGTGGCTGCTGGGCAGGAGTGTGCTGGCCGTACCACAGCCCCAGTTGGGCAGTCTGACTGACTGCACTGTGCTTACCCACTGTGCAATCCCTGAGCTGGCTGCTGCCTTGCTCCCATTGCACACATCCTCAGTGCAGAGGGCATCGCTGACCCAAGCTCAGGGCTGTGTGTGTGCTCTGATGCTGCTTGGTGCACTCTTTGGGCAGTGTTACTGGGAGCTGGATTGATTTCCTGCTTGGTTTCAGTACCAGCTGCTTCCTGCAGAACGGCCGCTGTTGGAGAGGCTGATGGTATCTCAGTGTGTTTGGAACTCACTGCTCAGCTCTGTTAATGGTGGTTTGAGGGCCGGAGCAGTGCCTCTGTGTCAGAGCTGCAGCCACACGTGTTGGATGGGGGGAGAGGTGGAGGGGAAACCTCAGGACAGAAGCTGCCCGTGGGCTGGGCTGTGTGTGCTGAGGTTCTCTGCTGCGCTCCTCTCAGTGCTCCGGAGAGCTCACACGTGTGGTTGGCTTTGGGAGATTTCTCAAAAAAAAAAAAAGAGGTTTTTGCTCCATCTGAAAAGGTTTTGTGGTTGTCGCTGAGTGGCTTTAAAATTCCTTCTGCTAGGAGCATCCTCAGCCCGTGTGTCTATGCGGATAAGCTGCATTCATCGTGTTTTTAGGTGTAAGAACAATTAAGAGTTGATCAAATCTTGGAAACAGTTGTGGTTTTTGACTGAGTGATCATTAGGGATGTCGGAAATACTCAAATAAATACGAAGTACATTCATCCATAAGTCTAAACAAATATTTATAGGGAGAGATTTTTATTACAGACATCTGAATTCGCTGCAGTGTATTTTTCCTCGTAGCAGATGGGTTTGGTGTGAGCTCATTCCTTCTTCCCCCATCTCCTTCCTCTTCTTTTTCTCCTTTTTCACCGACGAATCGAATCGCTGATACAAAAAGAACATCTGAGAATAAAATAGTGCGGCTAAAACGAGAAAAGGACGGATTGGAAAATGACATTGGCTTGCCAAAATGTAGGAAAGAGCAGCTCTGTGCTGGCTGGTGGCCGTGCTGGGGCACACAGCGTCCGTGGATGGGTCACGTTCTGCTGCTGCCAATGCCACACAGTGTGTGTGGGTGCTGCTGCTGCTGCGTGGGTCCCCCGGAGCCCTGGGACGGACGGCTGCTTTTCTTTATTGACGTATTTAAGAAATGCACTGGAAAAAAAAAAAAGGATTTGTATGAGTAACATGTAAGGGTACAGACACAGACACAGCAGTGTGAGCCCTTCGCTGCCGGAGCTGCCTCTGAATCGGGCAGTTTCCTGGAAGATGAAATGTTCCACCAATACGTGGGAGAAATGGAAAGTTCTGCTTGTAGTGCAAAAAATCCCCGTGTTTATCTGTGACGTGCGTGGGGTCTGTTCCCCTTTTAGCAGATAAGTGTGTAAATGAAAAGTAAAACGAAGAGCAAGCGTGCCGAAGAAACGATGTCAGGTAGTTTGATGGCTCCTGCCTGTAGCTTCCAAGCAGGTGGAGGGCTTGGTAGGATGCACTGCCATGCAGAAACAGGCTTTTGTGATGGTCTGAAATTAAAGTGTATGGATATCGTGTTTGTCCAAAAAATGCTTATGAACCAAATCCACAGCAGCGTGATTGGAGGGCACGCGAATCAGAAATTAAAACTGAGTCTGAGAGCCTGGTTTAATGACCCCACTAAGTGGAAGGCAAAAAGAGAGAGAATGGACTGTGAAGAAGGAGCCTGTGCTGGTGGAACGTTTTAACAACTCCGGACTTTAATACCACAGATTCTGCTCGGTGTCTTTCTCTGAAGCCAATCTTTTACTTACAGAACTCATGCATCTCGCCGTGTATTGCTTAGGAATTGCACTGGGCACCTTCTGATGAAGCACTGCTAAATGCTGCCTGCCTTTACTGAGGGGGTATTTATCATTTGTTGGGGTTGGGTCGGAAACATCCCTTCTTCACTCCATGAAGTGCAGAGCTTTGAAAATGCAATTATGCATGGGGCAATCACCAGTGGTTCTGTGGTTGGCTGAGTACGTCCCAGGAGCTGCTCAGGTAAGCATTTGTTTCTGCTCCTTCACTTCCTCTGGATTTATTTCTCCTGCCTTTGTTTGTAACGGTATCTTTTAGTCTGGAAACAACACGGCTGTGAACTTGGAGGGGAAATAAAGCAGAAGCAAAGGCGGTTTGCACCTTCTGCTTTGGAAATCTGTCTGTAACGTACATGGAAGAGCCTTAATTTCACATCACAGCAGCAACAGCAAACACACCTAACATACAATGCAGAGCATTAGAGCTGTCACTCAGACCGTGAGAAAATAAATACAAAATAAAGTTGAAATAGAATCGTAAACATTTGACCGCATACAATCCAAGGGTTTTGTTTGTAATGATAACCTGCATTTCCAGCGAGCATCGGCTTTTACATAACTTGAGATGCAGTCCTCACAGCAGACGGTCCTGCACGGGTTCCTCAGGAGCCGTAGGGCACCGGGGAGGGGGGAAAAGGGGCGAAGTGCCCCCCGAGCTCCTCCTGCGGGTGCCGTGCGGGCCGGCAGGGAGCGGGAGCCGCCGGGCCCGTAATTAATGATATTCCTCTGCCCTCTGTAGGACGAGCGGCTGCACTGAACGCTCCTGCTTCGGGGGAACCAAACTGCATCCCGGAGCCGTGGAGAAGCGCCGGGCCTGGCCTGCGCCTTCCTGTGCTCTAATTAGAATGCATGTCGGGATTAATCTGTGTAACATTCAGAAGCAGATAAGCAGAGAGGGAGAGCCGGGTGCTGGCAGGAAGGGGACGAGCGAACCGCCTGCTCCATGCAGTTGAACTTTGCAGCTTGCTGCTAGCAGCATCACAAACCCACCAGTGCCAGCACAAACACGGGGTCCAAACAGACCTCCTGGGGTCCTTTCTGTGAGGGTGGCAGATTTGGGCCCCCATCTGCAACTCACGTTTGAGAAGCCGATTTGGGTCCATTCTCACTCCCACCACCCTCAATTCCCAGCCGTCGTTTCCAGGTGACACGTTGTTGTGTTTGGGGGCCAGGAGGGGGTTCCCAGCCTCTCACGGGGTCACTCATCTCCCACTGCTTTGCTGGGGTCCCAAAGAGGTGTGGGATGCAGCACAGGTGTGGGCAGTGCCCCACAGCTCACACGGCAGCACTACTGCAGGTATGTGCTGATTGGGGTTGGGGAAAAAAAGAAAAGTAGTACTGTGAGTTCTATAAGACGGCTGTGCTGTAAGAACCCGTCGTTCTTTGCTTTCCAGCTCTGGAGCACTCAGTGTATGAATTCTCACGACACACTTGCATAGGGTGAGCGTTCTCCCTGGTGTAGCGGTGGAGGCAGGACAGCCCGGCCCTGCCGGAGGGCTCGGATGGTGGATTTCGGTTTTATTTTTTTTACGGCGGTTGTTTCCGCTCGAACCACCACGTACTTTAACGCAGACAAAAGACGAGAGGCGCGAGACGCGGCATTACCGCGCGCGGAGCGCTCAGGCCACGCCCCCACAGAGGCCACGCCTTTAAACAAGCCACGCCCACTCACAGGCCACGCCCATACGCTGGCCCCGCCCCTATCGGGCCCCGCGCGCCGCCAGACCCCGCCCCCCTCCGCCCGGGAAGATGGCGGCGCCCTTAGCGCAGCAGCTGGAGGAGCTGCTCAACCCCCGGCCCGACCTGCGAGACCCCGAGGACGACGCGGAGGAAGGTGAGAGGGGATCGGAGAAGGGTTCCGTGCGGGCGGAGCCGGTTGGGGGCCGGGATCGGTTGGGGGCCGCCGGTTGGGGGCCGCACGTGGCGGCGTGGAGCCTCAGCCGCCCCTGGTGCCGCCGCCGTGGGGGATGGGGCGGCTCGGCCCGCTGTGCCTCGGCCCGCAGCGCTGCGGGCTGGGAGCCCCGGGCGGCGCACGGCTCTGCACGCAGCCACGCGGCGCTCCGCGAGCTCAGCGTCCGGCCGCGGCTCCGCGCGGGCTCCGCTGCAGGCCGGGAGCGGATCCCGTTGGAAACTTCTAGAAAAGCGGTCCCAGAAGCGTCCCTCGGAGCCGGGCGGGCCCTGCTGAGCACCTGCGGCTCTTCGTGCTGGCGGGCGGGGGAAGCGGCGCTTCGGAACCGCGCGGGGAGGTGCAGGGGGAGGAATAATTGCAGTGCGGTTCTTTTCTCTCATTAGCCGTCCTGAGATGTTTGTGTATTTGTGTGTATATGGGAAGAGCGTGTCTGACTCGCAGTTTTCCTCTTTGAGTCGTTAAACGCAGAGTGAAGACGTTCGGTGCTGTGAGCTCTGGGCTCCACGCTGCTCCCATGGCGCCCCGTGAAGTTCAGGGTTCTGTGGGAGGGCTGAATGGGGTTTGCCTGCAGGCTGTGTGCTCTCCAAAAGGAAGAGGAGATGGGGAGGGAGGTGTGAATGCAGGCAGCACTCGTTCAAAGTAAAGCACTGCCATCCACCTCGCCTTTACAGCATGTTTGTGTTTGTAGAGGCGTGAGGAGTTTCCGTGCAGGATGGCTGCTTCCTGCAGCTGCTTCTGGCCTGAAATTCGGTTCGGTTTAGATAGCCTCCTTCTGTTTCTATTTCTTTTCCTACAGCCACAGTTGCTAAAGTGATTGACAGGTTTGAGGATGAGACTGCAGATGACATTTTACCTGTTGGTAATATACGGAAAAAAGCTTCGGCCTCCCTCTTAGAAGCTGATAAAAGGTACAGTGGAAAAGCAACATCTCGCAAAGCCTTGCAGGAAGAGCTGTGGGGAGATGCTCTGTCTGAAGAAGGATCTGGTAAGAAATCTTATTTCTGTATGCTTTTAGGTACACTGTTTATAATTCTATCACGCCAGACTGAATTATGGCCGTCTCAACTGAGATGAGGAGCTTTCAATCCTTGGCAGAGGTTTATAAACAGGTACAAATAAGTTGAACGTCTTTCTGAAGTGCCCTCCTGAAATTCAGGCCGTGCTTTTTGACCATAAGGAAAAGGAAATCCCCAGAAGAGGTCTGCTTCTTCAGGGTGAGGAGGGGCTGTGAATATCTGTGAGGTGAGGCTCAGCCAAGCCCTGGCTGAACACTGTGTGGAGGGAAAGAAGTAGTTGCCATTTTAAGGCCAATAGATCTGGAGGACTGCAAGTGTATCTTATTTTAAAGATACATAAAGCAAATTGTGACCACCTAACTTGATTACTATGTCACTAATTATTGTTACAGAAGAAGAGAGATGAGGCTTTTTCCTAGATATAGACTCTTTTCTTTTTTTTTTTTTTCATTAATTAGTCAAAACAAAAAATAAAACAGAGTTTGGTGCTCAGATCAGTAGCCATTGTTGATGCATGCTGCAGAGTGACAGATCTTTTTTTCTCTTTGAATTAATAGCTGAAGGAGCCTCAGATGAGTGGTATAGTGGCAGTGAAGATTCAGAAGACGATGGCAGCTTGGGCAGTAAAACAGAGCAGCAGGCCAGCAGTGCTGGCAGTGACCAAGAGGATAATATGGAAGATGATGAAGAGAGAGATTCCACTGCCAAAGTACCAAAGTTCAGTTTCCAGAACATCACGGACTTTGAGACATTTGCAGAGGGGATGGATGATGTTGGGAGCAGTGATGGAGAAGATGAAGATGACGCCAGCATGGAAGAAGAGGAAGGAAGTGATGATGAGAAATATGAGGGGGAAGACCATGACCACATAAAAGAAACCAGTGACAACGAGGATGATGGGGGGGTGATGACATTCTCAAAGGGACAAGCAAGTGATGAGGTGGAAAAAGGAAAAGCGGTGAAGAATCAGCTAGGTTAGTGCATGTTTGCTGTGTGTTTTGATGAGGTTCACCTTGCTGACACTACAGATGATGCCCATGCTAGAGGAGACATTGGAGCACGTTAATTTGCTGTTGGTGCATGTGCAAGTTGCAGCAGCCCATGTCATTTGCAGATGTTGCACTAAATGTGCTATGCATGCTGATGTCACTGTTCCTACAAAATCTAATGTTATGGAGTGTATTTATCTGCTGGCTTACCTGAACCCACACTGAATATACTTGTAGTTTGGGTGGGAAGGGGGTCTTTACATTGTTAGTTCTGTGCTGCGGTGCTGTCTGCTGTCTTTCTTCAAATGCTGAAGTTTCTTCCAATTTATTCAGTTAAATTACCAGCATCCATTTACAAGTTATTCTTTTAACCAGTGAAGCAAATAGAATTTTTGTGATTCTTAGGGTTGCTGTCAGGATCACAGATAGGATGGGGAAGGGGTGAGTACTTTGGTTTGTGAAATAACTCTTTTATTTTCTGTTTCTCTTATGAAGCACTGTGGGATCAGATCTTGGAAGGCAGAATCAAGATGCAGAAGGCACTTGTAATAGCCAACCAGCTTCCTCAGCCCGATACTTTCCCCCTTTTCAGAAAGGAAGGTGGACAGGAATTCGACAATGCTGTGGAGAGCTGTAAGAATCCTTCAAACTTTTTACTTTGTGTAGAGTCTGCTGTAGCCAATGCGTTTTTACGTGTGAGAGAGCATCAGTAGGAAAGTGAGGGCTTTGAGTTACATATGTTTGTAGCATTAGCTATCAGTTTATATTGTCTTAATCTTTAATTAGTATGGGAACTGCTGAGTCACAGCCTGAACCACGGATTGGGCACCTGCAGAAAGGACTGGGTCAGCTCTGGGAGCACAGGTGGAGGCAATTCATCTGTGCAACCAGAAGGGGTAGAGCCAGGCCCCACTCCTCTTAAATCTCATTTAAGGGCTGGCTACCACTGAGGAAGGATCTCTAGCAAGAGATCCTTTTTTTGTGGAGTTCTTCTGCAAGTGTAGATCTTCAGAGACAGGTGAGTGTTCTTCTTTTTGTAACTGCTTCTTGTTGCACTGATCCTGCTACTGTTAGGATTAGATGCTGTGCAAGCATGAAGTATTTCTGACCTCAGACCAAGAAAATGTCTCCCATCACCCATGTCTGTGTATGTCTAATTGCTCTCTGGCAGCCTGTGTTGTCACTTATGTGATATTGGTGAACCTCAGCTTGGGTCCTGCTGCTGTTTCTACTTTGTGTGGGTACTGAAGTTCATTTCTCTCTTCTGTGTTGGATGTTAGAAATAACTGGCTGGGTTATCACTGCTTGGTGTGGAGCTGGGGTGCTGCTTTGTCCTGAGACACTGTAGATGCTGGGTCTGTGATTGCAGTGATTTGTCCTAACCAGGAGTAATGTAGCACAAAGGAGAGGGCCTGTGCTGTCAAAGCAAATACCATTTCAGTTGGGAGTTGCTTCAGATGTTTGGTTTTTAGGATCGCTATTAATGATACTGATCTGATGAGACTGGTAGATTCTCCAATATGGCAAATATCTGCATGTTCCAATTGATAAACACAAAGTATTCAACTTCAGTGTGTTGTGGATCTGTTTAATTTCTTAATTCTTCAGTTTGTATGTGCAGCACTGATACCAGTGTGTTTGAGAGACTTTGACCTAGGCTGGCACAAGTTATCTTAAAACTGCATTAAGAACTTTTGCTGTGATCCAGCCTGACCCTGGGCCTTGCCCCTGTGCCAGGGTTTGACTATTATCTTACAGCTCACACCTGACCTGAGCATGCAGCTAATCAGCTTATCTGGAGTTATAGCAGGTGGGACTCCTTGTTTTAAAGTTAACTCAGCTGCTTTAAATGAAGTGATTAAGGAAAAGAAGGCGAACTCCCAGCAATACTAAGCTGACCTTTCAGTGAAACGCATGTTATTAATGTGTTTAATGAGATGCATTACAAACTGCACTGAGCACCGTGTTTCATTACAGGTCTAAAATGCAATATCATTAAAGACCTTTAACAGAAACAATGGTTGACATTTTGATATTTCCCATAAGCAAAATACATCCAAGAACACGCGGTGTAATACCATGCACAGTACAGCAGAGAGGTTAATCTGCCAGTTGTCCAGTACATTAAAGGAAAATCTGCTGTTAATAGCTGCACTGTGATTCCCTGCCCATCCTGTTTTCAGAATCCAGGCAGGGAAGTTGCAGCAGTTTGCTGTTCTAGATGACCTGTGTTCAGGTTCCACATTGAGTGGGGAGACAGCAGAACAACCCACGTTGGGGGACATGCCAGGCTGATGGGTGGGGAGTAAGGAGCTTAGGAACATTCTGATGCTGCTATGTTTGTTTAGCATTTGCTGGTGTTCTCTAAGGGTCTAAGTTCAAATTTCTTTTTATATTTTTTAAATTCAGTCTGTAATTGTACAGTAAAGTAGGTTACAGAAGCTGTTTGTGATGATCTGCACTGTTGTCCAAGCAGATATTTCTCTGTTCTGCAGAGGTGCTCTTACCAGAAGTTGGAAAGCGCCAAGCATGAAACATGAGGCACAACTTTGTGTGTGCAGGTCTTAGGGGAGTCTAGGAGTGCAGTGGGTGGCAGTGACCAATTTGTCCCCAACTTGGTGGTGCTGGGCTCTGTGAGAGGGATTTGGGACATCCCAGCTCAGCAAGGGCACGTCCAGCATGTCTGAGCTGTGGCATGGTTTCTGTTAGGGAAATGCCTGGGTAACAGCACTGTGAAGCCTTAGTTTCAGTGGGTGAAATTAACTCAATTTAAAAAAAAAATACATATATTGTAATCTATTTAAAGCTTTTCTTGATGGACCTTGATTTAGGAGGGCAGTCTCACTTTTCATCAGTCAGTTTCCAGAAGGAGCTCTGACTGAGAGGTTTGCTGGGTTCTATACAAATAAACTTCTAGAAACTCAATTCTAAACAGTGAGGTGGTGGGCTGGGTGTACACTTCTGCACTCCTGCATTGTCCTCTCAGTTGTGTTACTAGATTATGGGCAGGAGCCCATTCTCCAGACAGGAAAAAAGGAAAGAATTGGGCACGAGAAGGTTTAAAGATGAATCATTTTATCATGGGTTTAAGGCAAGGCTTTGTGAATGCTGGGTGTTGAGCTTGTTCCATTGCACGTAGCATGCTTCAGACTTGGATGGGATTTAAGATAATCATGACATTGACACTGTTTTGGAATGGATGATCCTTTCCTTTTAGGGAAGCCTCAGCAATTCCTTCCAAATCCACAAAATAAATCTGGCGTGCTTTCATGATCTTCTCTGAATGAGAGGAAATGATCTGGTGTGTGAAGCTGCACAAAGCAGTGCTGCCCAAAGTCCTGGCTCTGTGTTAGGAGTGCTGCAGGCTCTGGGCACCTGGGTCCCTTTCACCTCTTTCAGAGCTTCCCTAGCAAGCTTTTGGTGTTATCCAAAGCCCTTCCCTTGCTCGTGAAGGTTCTGCTCCCTGCCTGTAGGAAGGATGAATTTGTTGAGGTGGAAAACAGCCCTCCTCTATTTGCCTTGCTGGTGTGTCCCACTTGTGACAGCTCTTTGTGCAGCTGGTGGTGGCAGCGAGGCTCCCCAGGGACTGATTGATGGTGTTAAAGAGCAGGCAGCAATGATGTACGTGCTTTTGCAGTTTTACAGCCAAATCTGAGCAAAAATGGTAAGGTCACACACATTTCCCAAATTCTGAGGTTGCATCTTAGGAAAAACTCAGGTGTTTAATTTATTATTTTTGTAATCTTTTATGGGGAAAAAAAAAAAAAAAAAAAGATGTACCTTGGACAATCTTGGATTCCTGAGATCTCAGGTTCTGGTGGATGATTTACTACAAAATTGCTTATAAATTGAAGTAGAAAATGTTTTGCAGACCTGGCAGCTTTCAGGCTTCACACCCATTTGTCACCCAGCATTTCCCTTTGTGTATAGAACAAGAATTAATTAGGCTGCGCTGCAGGAAAAGTTTATGGCCATAATTTATATAGGATGAATTCCTGTTTAAAGAGACAGCATTGCTTTGTTTGCACCGTGTTACTTTTTCTTTTTTCCTAATCTTTAATTATATCCCAGATATTTTTTTTTCCAATCCTCCTTTTTACCTACACATCGCAGCTGTGCTCATGGAGCTCGTGTTTCTTCCTGCTTTGCATCCATGGAGCAAGTCGGGGAGGTCTCTTAATACCAAAACCACGGCGGCTGCGCTCTGAAGGCAGTGCAAATTGTGGATGCACTGCACACGTGAGCTCCCACAGCTCGTGTTTGTGAGGTGCTGCTGCCCAGGGCAGTCTGTTTCTCCAAGATACGTTTGTATTCTCTCGCACCGTATCTCCTAGTCTGGTCCAGGGCTTGAGATGTTGCCTCCGTTTGGGGTCTTGCACGTTCAATTAATGTTTTTCATAATCAATGCAAGTCAGAATTTGCAATCTGCTCCTGATTTGCACATTAAAGAGACCCATTAATTAAAAATTCCAATCCCTGGCATGTTCCCGCAGGATCCTTGCATTATTTACATAGAAAAAGAGTGCAAGGTGCAAGTTTCTGTGCGGTGTCTCTGTGCAGATTGCATGCTTGCCATTCATGTTTCTGTGTATGCTTTCAGGGAGGAGGAAGGTTGGAAGTAGATGTTGTAAAAATGGCACAAAAATTACCTCAAGGGCAGGAAGGAGTCAGGGCAGAGGTGGAAGCCATGCTGGTGAAGCGTATCCAGTGTCAGGAATTAAACAGTGCCGAGGTTTGGGGATCTCATTTGGTAACAAAAAGCCACAGCTAGCTCTGGGGAGGGGGGCAAGCAGAGCTGTAGACAAGATCTCTTGCTCTCAGCAAAGGCCAGGAGCTGGGGTTGCTTGCAGGACCCTGCAGCTCTGTTGTTGCTGCTGTAACTCCTTACAGCCCAGGTTAAAAATACCTGGGGATGACAGTGATGCTTTGTGATTCACTAACAATAATGGGGATAATGTGTTATTTTCAATTTTTAGTTGGAGGGAAAGCTAAGTAAGAATGTACAGGAACTCATGTGGGTCTCTTGCAGGTGGCAAGATGCTGGAAGACTTAAAGATGATCAGTGGTTGTGTATTTTTTCATATGCATATCGTTTCACTTTTCAGTTAGGCAGCTCCATGAAATAGAAGTTGCCAGCTGAATGTTTGGTTTTGTTTTTTTAACTTTGGCTCGGTCTGTCAGTGGGCTGAGAGGAAATACCAGACTGTGGGTTTCCTCAGTGCGAGTCCTGGAGAAGTGGAGGAACACGGCTGTGATGGAAAGCAGGCAGGGTCTGTGAGAGTGGGTTGGCTCAGGAGAGGAGCAGAAGTGGTGACAGTGCATCTTAAGTGTTATTCACACTTTGAGGAACTTCTGCACAGCCCTGCAAAGATTGGTGATCAATAAGAAAATAAATCTGAAGAAAGCGAATCAGATTAAAATATGTGTATATAAAAAAATAAAACCACGATGTAACTCTCCCTGTGCTTGCAAGGCTGTTGTCCCCAAAGCTGCCTGGCTTATTAATGTGTTAATGGAGCAGCAGCTCCTCCTGGCAGCTGCTCAGCACAGTACCTGAGTAGCTCCTAATAGTTACAGCACTGCGTCCAGCTTTAAAATTCTGCTGAAACTTGTGTGTCTCTTCCCAACTCACA